AGGGGTGGTGGGGGGGGGGGGGGCGCGGTGGCGGGGGGGCGGGAGGTGGGGGGGGGGGGGGGGGGGACAGGGATATCTGCAGAACTTCCTTTACAGATTCTTGAAAGAATTTGAATAGATTAAATTTTTTAGTTTCTTGGTTGCTAAACAGAAATGTCATGTTAGTCAAAGGTCAGAGATCAAGTCTTATCCAGAATTACAGGCAAGTGTTGGACGGTAAGCGTTTGGGTGGGATTAAAAATAGAAATTAACTTTGAGAATAAAATTAATCGGAAGACTCATTTTTCGTATCGTAATGATTTTTTTGTCTTTGGATCCAAAACTTTCTTCCATGCCATGATGAGATTTTATCTTGCATTTCTGGGTTTTTTTTCCCTTTAGTAGTGTTACTTTCAAATTGATGAAAATGTTGTTAGTTTTGTAAAATGTTCATTATCTAGGATCTCTGATCTGTGTATATGGTTTAATCCCATTTTTAATTTCTGTATCACGTTAAAAACACCGTCAGGATGATGTTTCTGTGACTTATTGTCCTTTCCTTTGTGGACGACTAAAAGTGTCTCTTGTTTGATTTTGAGAATAACAGAATTGATCAAAATGATTTTTGGAAGCAATCTTGTTATTGTAAATGTTTATTTTCTGTATTAATTATGCAATGCCACACATCTTGTGAGAATTTTTTTTTCTTTAAAAAGATCCTACCTGAAAAACTGGATTTTAACTATTCTGTTGGTGTAAAACCTGACTTTACCTGACTGAGAAAATTATGTTGAAGTAAGCACTTTCAGTTCTCAAATAAATTTGAAATGGTTAAATGAGCAGTTGTTTTGTTTAAAGACATTAATAAAAACTTTCTAGTCTTCAGCAGCTGACTACAATAAACCCCAAATATTGTTTATTAATGATGCTGAAGCAGATGGACATTAAAGACTAAAAAGAGAAATTGTCATCCATTTGTAAAATACACATGCAATATTAAATATATAACCATGATGAAGTCTATGAAAGCAACGCCAAATGAATGTGGGCTCAGGTCAGTCCAACAAAATATTAATGTTACCTTTTTTGGCTAGGCAGTGCATATCCTTGAAGTTCGTCAGGCTTTTGTGGAGAAGGGGCACCTTCAGTTGATCCTAGAACCGCCCCTGCTTTTCCAAAGTTGCACTTCAGCTACCTGCAGCTTCCTAACAGACAGTTGACAACGTTTAAAACTGAAAAAAAAGCTCCTGACTTCCAAAGTCGAAATATATCTAAATACGAGCTCAGAAAGTAAAACAGCCTGTTTGCTAACATATTAGCAAAACATGCTAAAGCGTGTGATAGATTATTACCTTCAAACACCAGCCATGGTTAATATGGACGCTGGCTCATTGCTGAAGAGATAATAAATAAATAAATAAAAAACACTGGAAGCAAAAAGGGAAGTCATCCTTCGTCCAAAAAGAGCTGGTCAGGACAGCAACCGCTAAGCTAACAGGTGTAATTAATTCGCTGATGGAAATTCTGTCCTACATACTCCAGTACTGTAGGTGGCGGTATACACCACGAGTCGGTGTTGGGATAACACTTTATTGAACCCAAATGGAAATTAAATGTAGTTGTAACTCATATTAATTGAAATCATTCAGAGAAATATTGCTGATGGAGATGGTTGTTGGTAGAGAACTGTACTAGAGAAATTGAAGAAGCCCCTGACTAAAGAGATTGTTTTCCTAATACAGTCTCATGAAGAGGATGGTCAGGGTTGCCCCATAATTTTCTTGATTTTAAATCCTTCTTTCCATCATCATATCCAGAAGGGATGATGTTTATCATTCTAACAGAAATTCATCATGATTCCTATTTTATTTAATTTTTAAACCACATCTCCAAAATTTTAAAGAGAAATTTGCAGCCTATTTTAAAACTGCTTGGTGTACCATGAGAACCATTTAAGTTAGTGCCAAGATTTACTGTCATGATTGTCACAATTTACTAAAAAGCCTGATTTATTTACCAAACATCTTATTATCATAATTAGACTCAGAAATGTGGGTTGGATCTGCAACACCAGGTGTTCATCAGCTGATGATGCTGGTGATGACTTTAAGCAGCTCTCAGGAGGAGGGGCTCTCTCAGTCTTCTCTGGCTGTCTGTCTTGGAGCTGTGTGGATATTTTTCCTCCTAATAATCATGACGGTTTTGTGCATCCTTGCTGTGCTTTTCTTGCTCTCTACCAAACATAAAAGTTTTGAGCTTTCTCATCCCAAACCAGCCTGCCATTACCCTCCGTCTCAGTGGTGTCGGTCTCTGGAGATCGCCATAGAATGCAAGGTGAGAGCGTTGGCTGTATTTAATTTGTAAGCACCCTCATGCTGTACTATATTTCAAAGTAAAATGTTCAGAGGACCAAAAATGACTAACAAAGATGTTTAATATTAATATGCAAGGTTTCTGTAATTGCCTGGTGGGGAGGTAAGTAAAGTTTTCTGCAAACTTTATCAATACTATGTTCTTACTGTGTATAAAACCTCTTAAATGTCTGTTTGGGGTTTTATTTTATCTCTGAAAGCCCTGAAGGTTTGTTTGCAGTGTCCTCTGGTCTAATTTCAAATGAAAGTCATGCTTCAGAAATTAGGAACCAGTGGCTCTTCATGTGACCAGGCAGAGCAGCTCTGGGTCAAACAACCCAAACTTGGTCAAAGGAAATGCCTCTTGTACCCTGGTTTTCATGTTTGTAGGTCCAGAAGCAATGTATGGAGCTTGGTGCCATTAAGCCAAACCAGACGGTTCCTCGTGTCGCCCTCACGCTGTACTATGAGAGCCTGTGTCCAGACTGCAGACGCTTCATCACCAAGCAGCTGTTTCCCACCTGGACAATGCTGCAGGACATCATGTCCCTCACTCTGGTTCCTTATGGGAACGCCAAGGTACAAATCAGATGAGGGTAATGGACTGCTTGGGCCATGTTTAAAACATCTTGACTGTTTCAATGAAATTTTTCTTCAGGAAGTTCTATCTGTAAACAGTCCCTTCAGCTGCCAACATGGAGAACCTGAATGCAGAGGAAACATGATTCAGGTTTGGGGGAAAAAAAAACTCCTGCACTTAACTGGTTTAACATTTATGCACAGACTTCCTTCATCTGTCTCCCTCCTTCAGGCCTGCATTATCCATTTGACTGGAACCTCGCTGGCATTTCAGGTCATCTACTGCATGGAGTCTGCTGCAAATGTCCTGAATGCTGCAGAGCCAGTGAGTGTTTAACTTCTTGTTTCGTGTCTGGTAGCTTGATGCTAACGTTCATATTTTAAAGTGTCTGCAGCTGTATGCTCCCTCCGTATCCTGGGTCACTGTTGATGCATGTGCCACCGGACGTCTGGGTTACAAGTTGATGCACGGTTACGCCGTCATGACCAGAGCTCTGAACCCGGCTCACACGCACGTTCCTTGGGTCACGATTGATGGGGTAAAACATGGCTAGTGAAACTGTTGCTGTGTCCAGACTCTTGACTAGTTCTGTGACTTTGCTGAAGGCTGGTTTTATATTTATAAATGTCTTTAATCATCATGTTGCAGGAGTACACAGAAGAGACTGAAGCAAAGGCCACATCCTCATTGTTTCGTTTGGTCTGTGATCGCTACAAGGTGAGAACTATCTAGGTTTTTTCCTTTCCCCACTGAAAAGTAAAATTTAATGTGGTGGTAACTGTTTTAATCGCCTACAGGGAGTGAAGCCTCCAGTCTGCACCGGCGCCCCGGTTAAACTGAGCAGAAGCGGCTGCTTGGCAGAATGAATTCACTCAAACATGTCTGAATGACTAAAAGATAATGTCATTGGACTTTGTTTCTGTTTTGGTGGCTGGCAAAATGCTGTTGGAAACTGTTCTATTTTATGGACAATCATAATGCATTAAATTTTCCATAGCTGATCCATTGTATTGCTAATTTCAAGAGAATACTGGAAGTGTTTCATGAATCCTGTCGAAACTAGCTCCTATTTAAAAAAGGCAAAGTAAAATCTACCAGGCAATATCCTTCTAGTGTAATTTGTATGAGAAGAGATTGCGGTGTTAACACTTAAAGTTGGTGGCAGTATTGCTTTGTTTGCCAAACTTTTTGATGACACCATCTTCAAAAGCTAATAGATTCCATTTTTTTCCCCTTAGGAAAGAAACAAAACGGTTTATAAATTTCCATTTAGTTTATTGGCATTTTCACATAAAACACCCTGAACTCCCGAGAATCTTTTGGCTTCAAAAGCAAAATAAAAATTCTGACAAAAACAAACATTGGAGTGGCAGACGAGTACATACAAGTAAAGCATACTTGTTTTTAGGCTCTGGAACATAAAATCAGTCATTGTCTTACAGTACTTGTTCTTGACACATTTAAAGAATAAATATATCTTTAGACATTTGCACGACACTGAAACCGAGAGACTGCATTAACAAGAATGAAGGCAGTATCAGCATTAAATGAAAGCAGGAACTCTCCTGCCAACTAACACACTTAACACTAAGTGGCGCTGTTGTCTGTCCTGTGTTGAGCCACGGTGCTGAGTTCAACAAGCTGACGCCTCAGACTGGGGATGTGGGTCTAAAAACAAGTTTTAAAGAATCCATGATGAAAATGCCACCAATGCATCATTTTTCAAAAGCTTCTCTGCAATAAGGAAAATACTTGAAGCTCTGAGTTTTTGTTTTACAAAGACTAAATGGTAAATTTTCAATCAAAAGATGAAAGATCTTGAACATTAAGGCTGCATTAAAAATTGCTAATAGAAAAGTAATTTTTTTTTTCAAAAGCTCATTTCCATTTGTATCCAGAATCTTGTTTTGGTCCATATCCCATCAGCTTAGAT